ATGGAAGAACAGAGGCAACAACATGACCAACGCACCAAGAAAGAGGTGAGGAAAGAGGATGCAGCCAGGAATGCATGCTTCCTCTGAGGAGGACAAGCGCCCAGCTGAAAACCGAATGCAGCAACAGGCAGTCGCTAGGATGAGAGGGGAAGGGGGCAGGAAAGAGAAAACCACCTTGAGAATACTCTTCGTGCAGAATACCTACCTTCCTCTTTGTCATTAACAAGAAAACTTTTTATTTAGTCAAAGTCATGGTGACACAAGTTTTTGGAAAGCATGGCAATTAGAAATGGAAGGAAGTGGAAACACTAATATCTTGTTGATCCTTCCAGGTTTTAATGAGCTGTCTTAAGGAAGTTAAGTATTAAGGCCAGGAGAAATGATTACATTAATTGTAAGCACCATTAATCAAGGCATTAATTGTAAATGCATATAAAAATGATCAACTAAATTGCTCAAATAAAGCTTCAGAATTTCTGAAGGAAAATTTAAAATAAAAATCTGAGTAATTTCCTCAAGATTTAGGTTAGTAAATGTCAAAGTCTCTCTGACAAGTCCATCCCACCACAGGATGGGCAGAGATGGAAGAGGAGAGGAATAGGGGTTTAAGCACTAAATTGCTTCCTTGGAGAGGGTCCAGGCTCAAACCAGCTATTGCTGGTTGGCACTAGCCTTTTCCTCATAGTCAATAGACCATATCCACACAAACACTTGCAAGTCAGACAGACTCACCTGAGTGAAAAGGAATATAAGTTTTATGAGCCAAAAAAATCTTGACTTTTAAGTGGTCAAATTATAAAAATCAACAGTAACGAACAGGACCAAACAGACCTGTTTTGAAATAAAGAGAAATCTGAGTTTCCTTCCATGGACCACAGAATAAGGTGGTACCAGAACTGGAAAGAATTTCAGAATTTACCAAGTAAACTTTCAATCTTTACAGCTAGAAAAACTGAGGGTCAGAGAAATTAAATGATAGCCAAAAATTAGTTTCAATTTTGATACTTGATAGGTTTTAAAGCATCATTAGTATTTCTTAAGCTTTTACGTTTAAGCAACAGCAAAAGAAACTTATAAATGATCCTTAACTGTAACCACTAAACTAAGAGGTAACTGTTAAATCTTAAAAATCACCTAAAACTGCCTTTCCAAATATTATGAACTCTTTAAAGACTCCTGTCTATACATCTGCCTTAACAACCTTGTATGTGAGTAAAACAAAAAATGTCAAAGTTCAGAGATAAATGAAGTTCTACTGCCATTTAAATACAGAATTTATTAACTAGGAAAGTACAGAATTAATTTGAAAGTAATGAAGTAACCAACCCACTCTTTCCTTTCATTTAAATTGGAGGTGGGATGGGGGCAGAATTATGGCTTGTAGGCTAAATCTGGCCTACCACTTGTATTTGTAAATAAAGTTTTGTTGGAACACAATCATGTGAGCGCATTCATTTACATACCGTCTACAGCTGCTTCTATGCTACAACAGCAGAATTAAAACAGTTGCAACACACTATATACGGCCCATGAAGCCTAAAATATTTATTATTTGGCAATTTACAGAAAGAGTTTGCTGATTGCTACTCTAAATAATAGGACATAATTAAAAATTTCAGTTTTGGAGTCAGAGGACCTGGGTCTGAATCAATGGCAGGTGGCTATTTGCCAGGCATAAAATTTTAGGCAAACTATTTAATCTTTCTGTGACTCAGTTTCCTTATCTTTAGCAAATGGACACACTAGTCCTTAACTTAGAAGGCTGCCGCAAGAGTTACACTCATGGAGGTAAAGCTGTTATCCTAATGTCTGGCAGGTAATGACCAATCAATAAATAGTAATCAGTATTAATAAAGACTGGAGAGTTAAGTCACATTTATTCTTAAAACCTGCTTAATAAAATGAGTGTCTCTGTAAAAAGCAGGGTAAAGGCAAAGGTTAAGCCACTAATTAACAAAGTTTTGTTTGCTTTTGGTTTACGGAAGACAGAACTAATAATGCACTTTGGGATCCTGACACTCTTTGAGCTAAAAACTCAGAAAGGACTGTGATAAATGCTATCACAGATGCTTGAAAAGCTCTAGATTTTTAAGGCTCAACTGTCAAAACTGAACATTAAGAGACTAAAATCCTGTTTATTTCCAAACCTAAAAATGAAACCCATGGCTGCTTCTAGCACAATGCCTTAGGCATGAAAGGTACTTAATAAATTTTTGTTGAACTGAATGGCCAACTCCTACTTCATCCAATGGCCTTATAACCATTTATAGAGGCAAACACTTGTTTGCTTCTGGGTTTAAGTGAGATAGCTTTATTAAATTAATAAACTAAATGTGCATTTATTCATACCTGTCTAAATTTAGCTCTTGCTTCTTTTTCCTTCATTCTTCCATGTGCAACCAAATAGTCAAACACTTCACCTACAATTGAGAGAAATAAAAGTAAGCAGTGGTCCTATTACTTCTAAGCATTAATGTTCCTATAAATTGAGGATGTTCCACACTTTTAGCAATGCTTTTATTTTTAAATTTAGATATGAAGACAAACAGAAATATGTGGAATATGAACTAAGCTAGCCTTAAGTTTAACTACAGGCAAAGTTCATCAATAAAATCTTTAAGTCAAAGCAAAGCTTTCACGTTAATTCTCATATGTTTACATTGTACAAAACTTGTTTTAAAAGTTATGTTTTCAATATTCCTTAATAAAAACTTAGCAATGAAAATTTAAAGTTAAATGTATCATTTATTTGTGTTAAAAGAGGATGTCTTTACTGTAGGATTATGACAAAAAAGCATTTCCTGAATACATTCATTCAACAAATATTTATTGAGTGCCTACTAATTGCCAGCACTGTTTTAGGCTCTGGGGGAAATAAAGCAGTGACCAAAGCAAAGACCCCTTCCCTATGGAGTTCACGTTCTAGTAGGGGGGAAGACAATCAACAAACACATGAATATGCAGTATGTCAGATAAGTATGTGGAGAAAAACTGGAGAAAGAAACAGGAAGTACATTTCCACATGCAAGCGTTTGCTGAGCGCTGAGAGGGAGTGGACAAGAGAGTCAGCTAGAAGAAAGGTTCTGGGCAGAGAGCAAAGAATGAGGAGGCCACATGGCTGGGAAAGTGTGAACAAGGGGATGGGAGATGGAGGATGAGCAGAAATGGGCAGGAAGGGTGAGGCCATTAAGAATCCTGCAGGCTTTGGTAAGGGCTCCTTTCGAAGGGAGAGGAAATGGATGGCCTCTTAAAAGGATCCCTCTGACTGCTGGAGGGAGAAGAGGGCTGGGCCTGGGGAAGGGGCAGACATACCCCTGGCGGCGGTGCAACAAGCAAGACAGGCATGAGGGTGGCTGGACCTGCAGGGGTGGTAACTGGGGCATGCAGGACACAGAGTGTGTAGGCAGACACCTGGGAGGTGCTTCAGACAGGATCAGTTCCTCAGGGAAGAGGGGTAACACTTCAGGGAATCTTTTACTATTGACAACTGCTTATCAAGGAGGAATAAAAAAACAACATCACTGAAATCAACAGAAAAGAGTGGTGATTTAGCAAATTACATATAAAATGTGTTTGGGAAAGGCTCATGTCTCCTTCAGACAAATAAAGAATGTTTCCATCAGCTTAGTGACAACATTCAACTAAATATTTTATACTTAAAAAAAGTTTATTTTCAGAATGTAAATATTTTTAAGAAAAAAATCATTCTAAATTATACATTAATCTCTCTGACCTTTAAACTTTTAGCCCTAACTCTTGAAAATTTTTAAAATGATGGATGGGCATAAATATTTCAAGTTATCACTTGACCATATAATAATCTTTTAAAAGGAATTACATATTGTTAATTTATACAATTCATTTAACTACGATGAATTATTAAGTTAAACATCAGCTCAGTAAAATGCCAGCATTTTCTAAACCTTTCTATTTGCAGAATAGTATACGATGTCAAAAACACATGGTTAAAAAGTAAAAACAACTAAAGATGTGTCCATATCATATGGGAAAACAGTTCTGACTTTTCAAAAAAACTAATGGATTACATGATCATCTCCATAGATGCTGAAAAAGCATTTGACAAAACTCAACATCCATTCATGATAAAAACTCTCAACAAAATGGGAATAGAGGGCAAGTACCTCAACATAATAAAGGCCACATATGATAAACCCACAGCCAACATACTGAACAGTGAGAAGCTAAAAGCTTTTCCTCTGAGATCAGAAACAAAACAGAGATGCCCACTCTCCCT